TTAGATTGATGACTTGTGTGCGTCCAAATTCCCCTGAAGTTCTGTTTTATGTTGTCCAGTCCACATTTAAAGGTTTAAAGGGGACATAAAGAAAATCCACTGTTATAGCCCTCCACTACATTTTGTTGTGTAAGAATCTCTTGGAGTGCAGAAAAGTTTAACTTAGTTTTCCTTATTGAAGCATAAATATTTTTAGATTCTGTTTGGGTCAAATTTTTCAATCCATTCCAGAATGGATTGAACTATTATTTTTTTTTTTTTTTTTTTTTGCTAGTATTTACTGAATTTGCTGCAGAACCACTAAATGACCATAGTGGTGGTACAATGGCAATGTGCCCTTACTTGTGTATTTTAATTACATTGTCATTATTCTTTTGTAACACCTCAGTGTTGAAACATGACATCAGAAACCTGTGTCACTGGCAGGTGAGGATTGGACTTGAATGGCACTAGTCCAAAAGACAGATGAAAAATTGTTAGCCTGTGACCTTGGTTATACTTAAGATTACCTCTGTGTTTGAACATAGGACCCCAAAACAAAATTCCACTGTTGTTCTGATCAAACAGGTGGTTTCATTTTCATAGGTTTTAACTGTAAAAGATGTGCAAGCATAAAATGCTGACATAGATGAAGCTTTGGGCCAATTTTCCTAAATGTTAAATGCTGCAGTATGAAATATTGACAATACATGCTTGTAAAACGTCTTGAATTAGAATTTTTAAGCACATCCTCAAGAACATCGTTTAGGTTATTTCCCCAATTTTAAAAGATTACTTTCTTCCACCAAATTTTTTTAAGACTTGTCCCACAATTTGAAGCTGCAGAATATTTCCCATGCACATTCAGATTCTTATCAAAATCCTACTGGGCTTCACCGCATCTTAAAAGGGCTCCGAGTGAAGTATCCATTTTTGCAGAATCCACCCCCCCCACCCCCCCTGTGCTTTCTTTGCCCCATAGTGTGATTAACTAGAAAGTAGGCTAATCCAAGGCATGACTGTAAGAGCAAGACTAATTTATTGTAAGGAGAAGAATGTTGTGTATTTTAGGAATGCATTTTTTAGCCTTCAATCTGGAGAGCTTTACTGTACGCACTGTACTCTGTCTCTGTAGACAGGCATTCGGTATTTGTCATTATCATTTGAAAACGTGTTACTGTTGTGGTAATAGTGGAAACTTTGGTTCTTCACTTTTGAGCTTGTGGTTTAATGATGGAAAATCCATGTGACGTCTAAAAGATGCATGTATTGTTTTGATGCTACAGTGTGTTCAGCCTTCTGAGTTAAGAAAAGTAGCTACTTCAAGGTTTAAAGTTGTGACTTTTAGAAAGTTTTGTCATTATCTTTACAAATGCAGATGCCATTTTTTTTATTCTTTCAGTGTCTTAATGTCTCTTTTAGGGATTTTAAATTCAGTTTTCAGGCAGTCACCTACATGCTTGTTTGAGCCATTTTCTGCCATGATAAAGTGGTATAAGTTTTACTTTTCATCCCCCATCTCTCTAAAACTGTGGCATGTGTCTTTCTTTGAGTGGTAATGCTTCCTATAAGTTACCACTTGAAGGGAATTCTTTCTCCCACAGCAAGCCTGCAGCACAGCATCTTGGAACCTTTCATGGTTTAATGGCTATAATTTGCTTAAAATAATCCCAATAAATTTATGAAGCTGTAAATGCTTAAATGTGGCATGATGGTACGTAATGCAGGCTTTGTTTTTTTTTTTTTTGTTGCTCTCGCAAAAACGAAAGGATTTCATGGCTTTTAAATGTTTTGAAGTATAGTTAATGATATGTTGTGCCTTGGAAAAGTATTCGTACCCTCTGAACTTATTCAGATTTCTTTTTACGATTCAACACACACTTATATGCTACTTAAACCATGTGTGGAATGCATGCCACACATTTCAGATTATTATTGTATGTTAAAAATTTTGAAGACCATATACAAATGACTTTCTACTTCACAATATGTTATATTTTGTGACTGTACTGTGACAACATTTTAAAAGACGTTTGAGGGGTATGAATATTATCGCCTGGCACTGCACTTGGACTTTTCTGCCTAATCTTGTAGTTTCTGCAGCCTGTTGAATATCTCTAAGTGTGAATGTAAATACCCATATTTGTGGCATTATATCAGGTTTTAATCTGTTAATATTCACCAGAGTAATACATTAGTACTGGGGGCAAGAAGGTTGACTTTACATAATAAACTGAGTTAAAAGCCTAAGCTCTTCAATAAGATTCTGTGTAAGCTAACACTGTAACAACATGCCAGTTATACCTAAAGCTGCTGCTATTGTTCATGCACTGAGGCGATAGCCAATAGGAAGAGACTGCATCTTTCAAACAGAAAACTAGACTCTCCACCTGGGCCAAGAGTGTTGTCAAACCCACGTTTTTCTCTCTCTCTCTCTCTACGGGCTTGGCAGACTCATTATGAGCAAAGACAACAATCTGAATGAACCTGGACCACAAACTGAATTAGTCAAAGCCCGGCTGACCTGAAAGGCGAGACAGGTGACGTTGTGGGAAAGCTGCGAGCTTGAAGGAAAACTTCTCACAGCAGCTTCCTTCTCTGTCTTGTTGACACAACACAGTAACTCGTCACTAATCTCCATCATACCTGACCTCCTCCCTCACCGGGTCAGACTTAAGGGTCCTCACATGACCACAAATGAGAAGCTAAAGGTCCAGTTATACGGTCTGTGAGCTGAACACCCGACTGACAGGTTTAATTGCGTCACAGGAAAAGGTCCCGTCTCGGTTGGGCCTTAAGACACAAAAGGCAGGTGCAGCTTCGTCTGTCTTTGTTTATAATAGATCCAAGTGGTCCCTCTATTGAGATTAAACATGTTAATATCAACAAAGAGCTCAGACAAAAGTGACCTGTTTGTACAAGAGCAGCTTCTCCACCGCAGCCTCCTGTCTTTTAATGGCCGAACAAACAAACCTGTAGACAAAATAGCGTGACAGCTTTTGTTAGGGGTAAAGGGCAGAGATCTAGTTAAAGAAGTAGTTTGAAGCCACATGAAAAGAAAAGGGCGGAGGGAACGGGAGGAGGAAGATGCCTGGGTGTTCCTCCATTATTGTTAAGCTGTCTGCCTTTGAGGGACACCTGTCATTGGCCGTGGTGTCCATACAGCCGCCCAGTTTGCTGGTCTTTAAAGCAGCCCTCATTCAACAGGTAGAAGGAGGACGAACAATAGGTATGTTCCTGAAATAGCAGGAGGGGAAAAAGAGACAACTTGGAGTCTTAAGAAAGCACCTGAGGGTTCTTTTGAGATAATCTGTTTGTTTTTTCTTCCCTCCCTGCCCCCCCTTTCTGGGGTGGAGTAAGGCCCATCACAGCGGTTATAGTGAAGAAACTGTTGCACAAGGACGCCTCTTTGAAGAAACCTCCAAATGGCAATTTCTCTAAGCTATCTTAATCCAAGTCTGTTTCGCTGCCTTCCTAACCCTGTCTGTTTCCTTGGTTACACAAATGCGCTGTTATAGCACGATAGGGGGCTCTGCCAGGAACCAGCTTCGGATAATGCGATACTGTTACAACATCACCAGAGGTCCCATATTCAGGAGCCAAACAGGCTTGTCCTGACCACATTGTTTGTGTTGATGTTTTGTTTCTTTATGTGTGTGTACGTCTGCGTGTGTGTGTGTGTGTGTGTGTGTGGTCCTGCTGCCAGGGGGAATGCCAAGTTCCCTCTCACTCTGGAATGTGGCAAGAAGTAGACAGGGGGTGTATGCAGTTGTGGGAGATCGTAGTGGGTGGAGGTGGAGGGGGTGGACCAGCAAAGCCCAAATCATTAAAACAATCACAATTTGAGAAATGATGTCTTGATGAAATGTCCAAGTCACATAAGTGCTGCTCAGACAGCCTTTAACTTGAGATAATGTTCATGTTAATTTGAATTAGATAGACAGTTCCTACAAGTATCGGAAATAATATATATAACAAAGGCAGGTACTGTTGTTTTTTTTGGGGGGGCTTGAACTTTTAATAACGTGATAGGTGTTATACAAATCATTCCCACATAAATACTGACTGCATATTCCCTCCTTTTCCATTTTCACGTCTAAAAATCTGTTAGTTGGTGAAATGACCACTTCTAAAAGCATCTCTATTTTAGAGAGAGGCTGACCTTTCCAAGCCCTCAAATGTCTCCTCTGTTTCCCTTCCTCCTTTTAACTGTGGTCATGGTGATAAGGGGCCAATGTATGTGTGAGAGCGCCTTGTTCAAGTGTTTTGTTGTGTGTGTTTGGATACACCGTGTGTGTGTGTGTGTGTGTGTGTGTGTGTTCCTTCCTCTTTTATACTGCTGATCAAATAGGGATAATTGAATCGCGCTGTGTTCATGTTGAGTTTATGTGAGTTTGAGTGTATTGACTTTTTGCTAAATGTGTTTGCAGTTGGAATGAAAGGAAGTTTTAGATCAGTTAGATGTATTTAGTTTGTTGAATAATGATCATTTAAATTAGAATGTGCATGGCTTATTTTGCAGTGTCTTGCAAGAGTATTACACATTAATAGTCTGACGTTTTTTTCTCATTACAACTTCACTGTAATTTATTTGGAACGTTTTGTAATAGACTAGCAAAAACATGTTATTGCTCTACATTATTGCATGTATGACTCTCAAAATATGACACACATTTTAGTAAAATGACATGCATATTTGTTAGTTCATATGACTAAACAGTTTTTAAACCTCTTTATGTTGCACTTCTGGAGAATAAACATTTTATATGTGAACATCACTTGTCAAATATGAAATTGCTAAAAGGGTATATATATATATATATATATATATATATATATATATATATATATATATATATATATATATATTTTTTTTTTTTTTTTTTTTCTTTCAGTGAGCTGCAAATTTTGTTTGATTTTTCTATTTGTTGCAGTTTAAAGGATTAAAGTAGAGGAGATCCAAGAAAACATTTGCAATGTTTCATAAAAATGCATCTGTGCTGGCTTCTCTCTGTTTTAAAGGCGGCCTATCCAAAGTTTTGAGGAACTACACTGAACAGGCCTGCGACGGAGAGTTCCTGTCTGTTCGTTGTCCCCTCCGTACCACCATAACTGTCCAATCAGCTTTCTACGGTAGAAAAAGGCCCTCTGATCCTCAACAGTGTCCTCAAACTTACCAGGCACTCCTGAGCTCCTACCACTCCCAGGAGGATGATCGACATTGTTCGGTGTCCACCGCGCTACAGGTAAATAACCAGGACAAAGTGATAATCTGGAATGTCCTTTAGTTTCTAATTCTGATTTAGCTCTTTTACAAATTCCAGTTTCATCCATGGCATTGCTCACCTGTTAGTCCCGTTTTAGCACGTAAACAGACTTCTTTTTCTCCAAATTTCTGTGGCAGAATGTGTCCCACAAGGTGGTCAAATTGGACAAGGGTAACTTTTTTTGTGAAGCCACTGATTATGTAATGCTTTGTTGGGGTGTTTTCCGCAAAATTACCCACTTTAAATGGGAAAGGGGCTTGTGTATTCCCACGGCACAATGCGATTTCATGGAGTTTTTGCTTCAGCATCCTTTCCCAAATTAGGATGCGGTGGGACTAAAACCACCGCTTTGCAACGCAGACACAAACACATATTGTTAAGCATTCATTCAGTTGTTAGCTTCATTCTTGGTTGGATTTAAAGATAACTGCGTTGGAGTTTGTTGTTTTGTTTAAATGTCTTGTTAAGCCAATGCAATATATATAAAGCTAAGGCTAAATCTGCACAGTTTAAATGTGTATACAATCTTTTATTGCTGTTTAAAATTATTTTCTCTAAACTTACTTGAATGTCAAAATGGACACTTTTTTGTCTTTTAATATGGGATAATTTTTATTTGATATTGATAAAACATTACAAAGAAGCTAAAATAGGAACTTATTTAACTCTTGAATAATTCACCAGTTTTTTGTATGTTTAATCAATGACAGATTTTTGTCTTGCTACATGATAAATTTTTTCCTGGATATTTTTTGTTTTAGGCAACAACATAAAGTTGGTATATTGGGAGACATACATAAAATTTCTCCCAAATATATCCATATTTCACTGCATTACTAAATTCTCACATTGACAAAGAAATTTGGATAACAGACTAAGTTTACCCTGTCACCTCACACTGTGCAGAGGAACTCAGAGGGCGGGGGAAAAAAAAAAAATCTAGGATACTGTTGAATGTTCTCACCTGGGATGCAGATGATGAAACCAGAGCATTAAAAACAATACCAGGAAATTACAAGAGTGGAGTTTCCCAAAGTTTTTTCTTACCTTGGCTTTCCATGGATATAGCCAGCCTGTTTGAAGTGGGTTTAGGTTTGCAGGGTCCCGATTTCACCATCATTTTTGTTTATTGTTCTCCCTCTAAAGCTGCCTTTGGTTCTCTCCTGCTCTGTGTCACTTTTCTTCTTTAGAAAATGTTGGACGAGTGCCAAGACAGAAGGAGCTGTCAAGTCCTTGTCAACAGCCGTGTGTTTGGGATGGACCAGTGTCCTGGCAGCAGTAAATATCTCATTGTCTGGTACAAATGCAGACCTAGTAAGTCCATCATCGCCTTCTCTGACATTTTTGTCCCTCCCATGTGACCCTTGGACCCTTTTTTTTTAAGTCACCCGTACAGAGAGGGCTTTAAAAAAAAAAGAAAAACGTCTTTGCCTCCTTTGAACTTTTTCACACTTTGCTTTATTGGAATTTTATGTGATAGATCAACACAATGCAGTGACAGGAAGGTGAAGGAAAAATTATGAGACGTTTACAAAGTTTTTACTGATAAAAAAATAAAATAAAATAAAGTCAAAATGGGGCATACATTTGAATTTGAATTGAATTTAATCTCTGCAGTGTAATATCTGCAAAATACAAGTAAAAATAAAAATTACATTTGCTGCTTTTCATGACTTTTAAAGATGCAGCAGAAATAGTGGCTAGGAGTGACATAAAGCATGACTTTTCACATCAAACTGGCCACACGTAACACGCTGTGATGATAGTCAAAGTTTGGGAGAACATGAATGAAAATTGGCAATTTGACATCATGTTAGAGGATTCTGTTAGAAGCTTAAAATGATGTGAGACTATGACAAAGGTTCACCTTTCTGCAAGGCAAGTTGGAAATTAAATGGCGTGGTTTATATTAAAGCAAGTTCAAGTGTCAAAGTGGCCTTGCCATTGTCCAGATGTATGTCTAATTTGCGGGGACACTGTTCACCCAACCCGACCAAGCTTTATGTATTTTTCAAGTAACAAGGGAAAGTAAAATGCGACTCCAGATGTTCAAAGGTAGGTATATCCCAAAACACTGGTTTTACAAAGTATTGACTCGGAGGTGCTGAATAGATGCTACTTTTGATGGACTTCAGAATTTTGAAAACCATACATGTTTTCCATCTACTACAGAATTATGCATCAGTGTGTGTTGACTTATCACCTAAAATCTCAATAATATTGAAGACAGCTGTTGTTGACTGAGACAAATGAGAAAAGGGGTTGCTAAAGCAGCAGAGCACTCTCCTTTTTATCAGTTAATTTCCCTGTAATGTAATCTTTCTGTATCTGTTGAGATCTCTTCTTTTACTTTTAAAGAAAAAGTCTTTGCGTTTTTCTCCCATTATCACCAGTGAGCCTGTGAGCCAGCAAGTTAAGAGTATCACTTCAGAGGTGAGCTTCAACAGTGCAGTAATCCCACCCAGATTTTAGCATCCATTCAAATCTAAGAGCTGTGCTGAGCCAAGCTGCACTGAGCTGTGTAAAACTTCTCGCTAGAGTGACCACAAGTGAGCAATAATCCACTGATCCTCCTGGTGCCCCCTTCCTCCCCAACTCTTTCTTTCTGCACCGGACGCCGGGGCCAATCAACAGCTCTTTGTTCGGTGTCACTTAACCAATGGCTTCTGTGCGGAAGAAAGAAAGGCCACATGGGGCGTTGGTGAGGTGCGACAGGCAGGTGTCACTGCTTCTGAAAGGGAAGTCGGATGGAGGGCACCTCAAGTGAAGAAAAACAGAGAGGGAGAGAAAGCAAGAGTGAATCCATCACCAGGGAATATCCTGTCCGTTTTGTCTGCCGTCTTCAGCCGACATTCCTGTTCCACTCCCCACATGGACGGAGATGGGGCTGCCGTTGTGTTTTCATTTCAAGGCCAGTGGATCTGCTCCTTGCTGTCACAGGTCACTTTGGCTGGGTGTGTCTGAGGAATTCCTCTGCGTGGCTCGGCACGTTAACTCATTAATTTCCCTCTGCATGTCATTGTTCTCGAGGAATTAAAAACTCAGTTCCCTGTTACCAGAACCTATGCTTAACCTATGAAGCACAATTTGCGTGACGTTTTATTGTTTTGGGACATTTTTAGAGGAGATCTTAGTGATAACTGAAAACATAAATAAAATTGTGAAACTTTGTGTGATTGTTTCTTCTCCCTGTCCACAGATGAGTATAAAAGTAAGGTTGTCTGTGAGGAGGAGCAGATGAGGCTCAAATGCAAACAGGGCATGCAGATTTCTGTTTACTCCGCCATGTTTGGTCGAACTCAACAAGGCACGCTGGAGTGCCCCCCTCACGACCGGAGGCCCCCATCAGTGGGTGAGTCACATTCTCAGTGTCAGCTTTCGTGATGCACCACAGTTAAGGCTGTTTGGTAATTCTCTTTTCACACTAATGGATGGCAAAGCTTTTGGTGGATGTCATTCAGCACACAATGCTCATACGAGGTTCCGTTGATAAAACTGCTTTTTTTGTTGCAGATTTGTTCATTGCTAGTCTTTATATCAGATATCAAGTTTTGTTGTTTGTTGCGTGGTTAGTAGTTTTCAAAATGTCTTCTGCTGCTCTACTCCAACAACCAAGATATGTCTGTATGACAAAATGTAAAAGAATCAGTTCCCTTTCACTTTGGTGTTTGAAACTTTAATTGATGTTTTTTTTTTCTTCTTCTTCTTCTTTGATAGCATAGTATTGGAACATCATTTTAGCATTATGCAGTTTCCCTCCAAAATGCTCTCATTTGTAAAAGGTTTCGTCATTTTTCGCAGAGGATTGTGGGTCAAAATTTATCAGTGGTGATGTTAAAGACTCACAACGACACCACCGCAGGTCGTTGTCGCTAACCATTCATTTTACTGGCCAATATGTGTTGATGTTCTCAGTGAAATTGGTCATGAAACTTCATCTCATTAGCAAGATGTCTGTTACCCTTCCATCTATCATGAAAGGTCATGCTTGTCTCTATTGAAAACCTAGAAAAACTAGAGCATACAGGAAGAAAATAAACCAAACCCATCTGGAGGAAGATTCTTGCTGCTGTGTTCTCAACTAGTCCTATAGAGTTTTAAAATTAAGTTTCGCTACTGTAAGACTAAACCAGTCTTAATTTATATTAACATAAAAGTGCAACATTTATGCAGTATTTGTACAGTTTAGTAGAATTTAGTGGTGACCCTCTTTCTACACAACATCACTTTTGGGTTAATTTGAGATCATGGGAGAAATAAACACATGAATAGTGAATAGTATCGGACCTATGTCCTTCAATTTCCATAACTGCCCAGTTTATTTTGTCATACATGTTTTCTTCTTACTCTTACAAGTTAATGTTTTGGGAAAAGTACAAGACATCATTCCTAAATGGAAAATCCAATGATTTCAATGAATTTAACATGTCAGAACTTGAACTTCTTTTAACTACAAAACAAAGTGCCTGTTGAATATTCCCTTCATTAACTTCTTTCAACTAAGAAGATATTTCCTGAACGGGGTTCTTGTGGTTTCTTAAGGCCTCATAATTTCCTATGATGCCACTAGCTTCAAATGATCTTGAGGAAACATCCTGCACCAGCTATTTAAACCTGTTCATACCTGCCCTGCAATTTCAGGGTGATTAAAAATAACTTTTGACACAATATACCACCTTGCATTTTATACACTTGTTTTGAAAGCGTTTTCAGATAAAAAAAAAAAAAAACATCTCTCAGGGCGAATGACGAAAGACGCAGTCAAACATGCAAACACTGCCAGAGGACTGGGGTGGAATGCAGATCAAATGTCATCCAAAGTGCACATTCTGGCCTGTAGAAAAGGGGACATATTGAATTCCCGTACATGCAAGACTGTGCAGTGGATGTGCGCATCTGAGCACTTGGGATGTTCAGATGTACACTTGTCCTTGTTATAGAGGAATGTTAATGACTCGAAGCTGGGACCTACTCTGAGTATTAGTGCAGCTACTGTGGCATTGGCCCAAAGTCTCATTGCTAACTAGCTAATTTACTTTGCGCCACCTTTATTTTTGTCATTGCACTGGAGGAAATAATGACAGAGGATGTTAGTGTGGATGCACCTGTTTTTCTACATATCCCTTGATCTGAAAGCTGGGGGCCATTTTTAGATGTAGGGGTTAACATAATGAGTTTCTGACAAAGGTCTCAGCTCAGCATTGACAGCCTGACAATGGCGTCATTCACCGAGTCATCATAGACAAATGTACAGAACAGCTTTGTGTGGGAATGTCTACATGTATCTATGTCCTTTTGTGTATACATGAGCACTGATAGCTGCGTTGAAGGGGTCCTCGCACAGGTGGACCGAAAATGTGCAACAGGTAGCAGGCGACTTTAGGCGCCTAAGGATTTGGTTTCAAGTTCAGACCCAAATACAGTAGCTCCCAACATTGAAAAATCCAATCACAATAGAGCAGAGGAAAACCAAGGTCTTTCTCTCTAACACTGAGTCACTGTGCGTGTGTGTGTGTTTATGTGTGTGTGTGTGTGTGTGCTTGTGAAATCAAGCCATCCATAACCATCTCCCGAGGCTGTTTCAAAAAGACTTGTGGTACTGTAATGGGATTTCCCCTGTCATCTCTGCCTTTGATGTGGCTGCCATGTCACCTGGAACAGGAAATAAGGCTGCCTCAAGTGACAGCCTAGTTACGCAGTATTAATTCTTTCTAGATCACAAAGTGGCATGGTGCCTCTTGTAACTCTAAATGATTTCATAAGTTTGTTTTGTACCCACAGTAATTTTTAAATGTGTGTGCCAACAGCAGAGCTTAGGACAGTCTCCCAAAATACATGGACCTAGTAAGTTTAATGTTGCCTGAGGTGAGTTCACACCATATCTGCACCTGCCCTGGTGTACTGTTTATTATGCATGGAGACGTAGAAAGTGATTCACAGATTCTCATCTTGAATCAGGTGTGAACTATGACAAGGGTACCTTTTATTCTTGCTCTGATTGGACGTTTGGGTCGTTATTCCGTTTGATCAAGTAAACTACAGGCTGCATTGTCCGCCGTCCGTCTTCCCATGAACACTGACCAGCTCCCTGTCACATGATGTTACCACCGCCAGTTTTCACCCTGCTTTATTCTTGATTTGTGAATGCGTGACTAATAGTGGTCCTGCTGACAATTTATTCCACCTCCACCCACACGACAAAACGTGGAAAAGTTCAAAGGAGTGTGAATACTTTTGCAAGGCACTGTGCTTGAAGTGTGCACATTGACTGCAATTTACTGCTTTTTAGATCATACATCTGGCCGCTTGTTAAATCTAGAGCCCTGAAAAATGTAAAAGATAAAGATGCAAGCAGGTACATGAAACATGCGCACATAACTAAAGCCTCTTTGATCCCATCTTTTTTTCTTGGTTTTTGGGGGGAGTGAGGGAGCGACTGGCAACTTTTGGTGGTGAAGGAGAATCCTCAAAGTAAAGGGGCTTGCCTCAGCTCTGCTCTCTCATCTGCAACATTAACATCACACACACCTCTTGACATCTAAATAGGCCCCCATGCCTGGCATGCAGGATTTCAGACATTTTTTCCCCCTCTCTTTGGGGAGACCATTTTGCTTTCACTTTTGAGTGGCTGCTTCAAAGAAAATATTTAAAATACTTAAACCCAGGCTTATTGCTCTCTCAGGCAAAGCGCAGTTACTGTTAAGATGAAAAGAATTCTTAAAGGCGAATTTGGTGGAAATTTGAAAGTGAGAAATGTCGTCATATTACTTTATTTCTAACAATAAAAAGAAAATGAAGAACATCTAGGGGATAGTTTTAGTTGTTGATGATTCAAACTTTTTCATATACTATAAGCCCGTCACACTGTGTGGCTGTTTTTCTTTTCCATCGCTTATGGACATGAGTGGGTGTACTCAGGGGCGGAGCCAGGGGTTGTACTAGCAGTTCCGGCTAGCCTAACTGAGTACTGCTGATGATTATGTTCATTTCTTTAGAATCACAATGCACCTATCTCCTGATAGATGCACCCAGCAGGTTAATGAAACTTGTCCCACAAATCATCTCAAGCCAGTTAGTGGAACTGGACAATGAGTTGACTGTACTCCAGTGTTTTCCACAGTTTCCAGTTCTGAACCCAGTTGAGCAAGTTTGAGATGTGATGGAAGAGGATATTTATATCATGGACATGAAGTAAGCAAATATGCAGAAAACGCATGAAATGATCATGTCAATATGGACCAAAATCTCTAAGGAACGCTTTTGACACTTTTCTCAGTCTGGACCAAAACTACAACCATTTCTACTAAACGAGGTGGTTAGTTCATGTCCATTTGTTAGCTTGTTTGAGGCATTTTCACAAATGCTCACTTTGAGCCTCCCTTTCAAGCAGCACTGTGTGTAGTGGAAAGCAGGTGAGTCAGAGTGAAAGAGGAGACGGGGATGTATGACGGGCTTCTCCGGCCATTGTTTTTAAATTCCAGGAAAGGTGTGTGTGTAGGTGGAAAAAACAGGGGTGTTTTGGAAGTTGCTGCGGATATACTGATATGAGCGTGTCTGTTTGTATATCTGTTTCCTCACCGTATCAGTTAAGAGGTCTTTTTTTTTTTTATTGAACAGAAAGCAGGTTTAACTCACGGCCATCCTAAAAACAAATATACCAGTATATACCTTTCCAAAGCGAAAGCAACGTTAAGCGTCAGTAGGCACAAGGTTGTATTTGATATGTTATTGTTCTGGTGTGTTATCATGTGAAAAGATGGGAGCATGTTAAAACAAGAAGAAGGTGGGGGAAGCTTGTACACAATCCAGCATTGATACTTGTAACATGAGGTGGGAAGGTAAAAGTTTCCATTTGATGTGGGACATGGCTAAAGGTGTAAACTGTGATACTGCTGATACAGGGTGTCGTAGCAACAGAAACTTTGGGAGGACATAAAATGGAGCTGTAGCTGATTTGTTATTTCACTCTATTAGTAGATGCAATCAGAAAAAAATATTGTTTCGCATGTGACTCTTGCTTGATTTGAAAGTATGTGGGTGTAAATGGGTGTGTTTTGCCTGGAAACTCCTCTGCCTGTCTTGGCTTTTGACCTTCTTTGCCTGTACAATGGTCCTGTCCTTATTTTGTTTTGAGGATAAAATGGTGGTAGCACAATCTTGGGAAATTGTTAAGGGTAAAGGTTAGAGGTCACTAGTTCTTTTTTTTTCTTTACATGCCTTCTTGTGTTTGTGTGTGTGTATAAAAAGAGACTGCATAATGCTGTATCCTTGTCAATCTATGTTAATACCACTAATGAGAGCCTGCAGGACAGACCCTTTTAAACTAATCACTCTGTGCGTGTGCGTGTGCGTGTGCGTGTGTGTGTGTGTGTGTGTGTGTGTGTGTGCGACTGTGGTAGAAGACAAAGCACGCATGTGTTTCTCTGAACCTCCTGCACCTCAACGTCTTCGTCATTTTCTGAACCCCGCAGACCCGCCGGTGTTCGGTGAGCCCTGTGCCTCACTAATCACCAGGAAGAGAATCAAAGCTTCAGCTAATGGGGAGCTGTCAGTCAGGGGGAACTCTCTCATCAGGGAGGATGTTTTCAATGTAGCATACCAGCTTAAACAAGCCCTTTTGGAGGAAAATGAATGACCTGCTGCTTTTGATTAAAACAGTGGGTCACCGTAGACATGTTTATTAAAGCTGGACAAAAAAAAAAAAAAAACGCAGCATAAACATTGTGTCTTTACATATGCATGATCACCTGCAGAGAAATCTTGAATTATAAGGTTCAGGTCTTGTCATTTCCCTAATTTTGTCTTAAGGTGTTAGAGAGCAGTGCACCCTGTCAGAAATCAGAGCGATTAGAACTACACACACGGACAAAATATTTAGCAAACCTCCTTCGATGACCGAAAAGCCCACGATGAAATACTTGCAATGAACAAAAGTGATAAACAAAAACTTACTTAAAATTAACCAGGGAAACTCAGACATTGTTTTTGAATTATGGTTCAACAAAATCATTTTAAAAGGGCGGAATATTATGCACAATCAACTTTTCTTTTTATAATGTAATTTCCTCGTCAAAAACATACCTGCAGTGTTGCTTTGACTTTTTCATGCATGTTCAAGACATCCTTGGATGTCCTGTGGCAACCATTTGGAAATGCTTTAGGGTCGGCTCTGGCAATGTATCACCTATTTCCACAAAGGTCAACTTTGGAGCCTCATTCCCCAACTGAGGCTCCAGTTGAAGTGCGCCTTCTCCAGATCTCAAAAAGGTTAATGGAGGGTTTCTTACGATTTGTTCTTGCCACCCGTATCAAAAGCTTTATCAACTAGCCATGCGATAATCTGTCAGAGGTCAAAACCGCACTTATTCACTGATTCTGAAGCTGTGTTCTTGCTCGTGTACTGTCAATCTCTTCCCTGAATAGTTACACTCATCGAGGTAATCTAAAAGTTTTTAGAATGTCACCAGCAGTGAGGCAGTGAAGTGAGCTGTCATTTTCACTAAATGTGTTACTCTGCGAAGAAATGTTTGCTGCCAATTGAGTGGGTCGTAGAAAAGAGTTAAAAGACACATGCACCTTTTTTTTTTTCCCTCGCTGTCCACAGAAGAAGTTAAGCTTCTCACGTTTTAGGTCGATTAGAATTACTTAAATGATTTAGATTTTCTAAATCCCTCAATAATGAGAGAGAGAGAGAGAGAGAAAGAGAGAGAGAGAGAAAGACGATAATTTACGAAACTAAAATCTTCAAAACAACTTAGGACAGCTGTTAAATTTGTATTGACGTTTCCCCATTTCTTGTCTTCCAGTAGTGCTTCAGACATCTTTATTCATTGCAATGCAAATGAGCATGTGAGTCTGTGTGTTTGAGGTGACAGAGGGAACTGTGTAACCTCTGAGGTGAACAGCTTGTTTCTGGATCTTCTTACTGGTTCCCACAGGGTGCCATCTTGCTTACCTTAATGCACAAATTATGACTTGTTATTACATTAGTTTATTACACACAATTCTAGCTTCCACTAATGTGGTTTAAATTGTTCTTTTTCTTGGTCATAAATCAGGATGGCATAGTCAAAGGCAGTTTTTAAAAAATTCCCTATATTGACACTATACATATCTACTAGATTGCCCTCGCGGTCTTCCTGACTGTGACATTTGACCTCTGACCTTCGCCGTAATTTGTTGCGGCCTGTTGACGTGTGAGCCGAGTTTTAACCAGCCTTTTCTCTTTACCTTTGGCTTTTTTTTTTTCCCCATCCTCTATTTAAGGCCCACCAGGGGAGACAGTGAGACAGCCAAGTGTCCACTTTCAAAGGCTCGTTTCCTCCTGTTGTTTTAAGGGGTTTAGGTGAACCACGGAGGCCCGAGAGGCATCCATGCGAAACCAGGAACCATTCACGCTCCCATTAGACACACAGCAGGAGTTTGTTCTGACTTTATCTGTTCTGACGCGCTTTTGTGCTATTTTGTCGCCGTTTGTATTAAGAAATGAAGCACACACACACACAAAAAAAAATAATAATCCACTGGGGGTGCTTCAGTAAATCACAATTGGTTGTTCATTTATCTAGCATTGTGCTAGATAAACGGACAGTTAGCCGGCTTCAGGGTGAACGCCTTTCAAGCTCACGTCGACTTAATCTGTGCAGTCACGCTTCCCCCGTTGATGAGAGCTGCAGATGAGAGGTTCACGAGGAGATGGCAGGTGCTTAGTGATGATGTATGAGAGACCCGTCCGTCCATTCCTTTGCCTCGTCTCCCCGCACGAACACACACAGATGCTGGATCATGTGTCCTTTGGACAATTTAGGGCTCCTGGAAGCTTTCTGATGTGGACACACACACAGATCGATGTAGTGCCGCGAGCTGAGCTGAATGAGGAGAGGGTTTGAGTGTGTTTGTTTACACCTAGAGCTGCTGCGGTTGACGTACTAGTTAGTGCACTAGTAGAAACATGAATACTGAAGGAGAGTGACTGTTTTCTTTTTTCCTGTTCTGTTATTGTAACAACTGAATATGAAGTAGGAATTTGCAACTTTGAATGCGACTGAAATTTGTTATAAGTGAAGAATTTCACTTACTTTTATTTGATTACATTTATATTTCTATCTGATACACATCAAGCTGATGATTTGGTTCTCCTATCTCTTCTTATTTTTGCTAAGATTTATGTCAAAATTTAATTGAAGAAGAATTTGAATCATGTAGCTTTAAAGATAACCAAAATATATATATTTCTGCATTTACTAAATCTATATGTGAGTTTGACTTTAAAAATTATTTTTTTCTTTTACGTATAAAAATGGAGGTGATTTTATTGGTTTACGGAGAATGAAAAGATAATTCCTTTGAAAATGTAAAAAAAATAAAACGTAAAAATACAAGTTCCTAATAATTTGTTCTAACCTTTTGTGTTAAGTTTAGTCAGAACTTGAGCAACAAAATTATAGTGTCATAACATGGAATAACTACAGTTTATTTATTTATTTATTTTTAAGAATATAATGTCATTGCTTTCAGGCTCTATAGGTACCCATTTGTGCTGAATGTCAGTTTGGTTACTTTGGTCTTGTGGAGAAAGCAATCAGATCTTTTCTATCTAATTATGTAAACTCTTGTTTATAATTGTTCTTCCATGAATGGGAGTACCTAATTTCGTTCGTTTTGAACAGGCTGGTTGGCTTAAAAACAAACATTCTTTCCTTTTTCTCCCCCAGACTGCCAGGCAGCCACGGCCCTCCAGGTCCTTACAGCCCGCTGCCAGGGAAAGAAGAGCTGTCGGGTCCAGGCCTCCACCAAAGAATTTGGAGATCCGTGCTACGCCGGCACCAAGAAGTACCTCAATGTCATCTATACATGTGGTGAGCCCAGACAACACTCATCCCATTTTATGTTCCTGCCACCAGGGGGTAATACTTGCTCACTTATAAAATGTGCATGTTTCTGTTAGACTTTCTTTTTTCTTCTTTGCCTCTAAAGTACACCCCAAAATAAAAGGCCACAGCTTTTGAAACACAACAATTCAAACTACATATGGCTTTTCAAAGAAAACAGTTTTCTTTCTTCCTTTCTTTCTTTCTTTCTTTGTGATTGAGACATTTTTTTTTTCCCTCTGAGTTTTCCTTTCCTCCTTACTCCTGTTTTAGCTTTACATCTGTGGACGAGATAAATAGATAAGCAGTTCCGACTTCTATCTGTTCTCTACCCTCAGGTTAATCCTGAACTGTCAAGAATGTAATTCATTAACCACACGTTTGGTGGTATGCTCAAAAGGTCACGCGTACACACACACACACACACTCACACACTCCCAGAGGCGCCTCCAGCACCATGAATCGATCAGTGAGCGCCGTGACGTGGAGCTTTTCAAATCCACAAGAACATTAGCCTCAGAAACCCCAAATTAGATGAATCCAGCTCCAAGGCTTGGCATGTCAGTGGCATTTTTGAGTTCTAATTTTGAGGACTGCATTTTATTTCATCTTTAACTGTTCCCTCTGGGCTTGAGAGAGAGCCTTTTATGCACTCATTTGGTTTGCAAGTTTATCTGTGCGGATTGCATTTTCTCCTGCGTTCTCAATCAGTTCGATGTGGTCATCTTGCATCCCAGAGTTCTGCTGCTAGATTCTGGTGTGCTGTCTGGTTTTCAAGACCCCCCTCCCATTCGTCACTAATCACTAAACACCATCAACCATCATTCAAGAAATCCATGCAGCCTTTGTCTCGATGACAGCCTCCCACTGCAGACAAAAATACACAGACTGTTCAGCTGTGTTTACGCAGTCATTTGGCCCGAATCTCTGTCTGACCTCCCTTATCCGTTGCTGATAACTCAACAGTCATCCTCAAAAGCCCCGGTGCTGCAGTTTCTAAATGAGTGCCTGTGTAAAAGCCTTATAGACGGGGCAGAAAGGGGAAGGATACGGGATGTTAGCTCGCTATCTTTCCAGCGGTTAGGATTGTCGCGTCTGTAAATGTGCAGCTTGTTGAGGGGAGGCTGGGGGGTTTGCGGTTGAAGAGGGAGATGTTTGAATGTGAGTAGATCCACCATGTATATGAAGTCACTGGCGGCTCTGGGCTCAGGCAACGTGGTAATTAAGGGGGATCCTCTTTCATTGGTGGTTGAGTGTAGGGGCAGCGCATGGAGACTGGCAGTCCACCCCTGGTTTGCAACAATTTGCATTCATGTTTCTGTCTTTCCGTCTTGTTCCTTGGGAGAGGTGAATAAAGTTGATCATTTTCTAGTAGCCTCAATGATCTAAACAGGGAATTTTGCGTTTAAGAGTTGTGCATAAATATTTAAAGTTTTTATCCTGTGAAAATTTGCGAAATCGTATTAAAAGGATATGTTTTTCAGTTTATAAAAGAAAATGTATATGAAGAGAGTGACATAAATTGCTTTTACTCAAATACCTGTAAATAAAATCCTGTGCAGCCAACTGCCTTATAATAGTTTGAAGTTGGCTGCATGTTTTTATTTGAGCTGTTCCATGAAGGGCTCAATGATTTGTTAGGAAAAATGGTGAACAAATTGCATTATAAAGGAAGTCCCATTAAAAGTCCAGATCTTAATATAATTGAGAATCTGTGTCAAGACTGGAAAATTGATGTTCACAGATGCTCTCCATCCAGTCTGACTGAGTTTGAGGTATTGTACAAAACTCCCAGTCATCAGATCTGCAAAGTTGGAACAGTAATGCTCCAGAAGATTTTATCTAATGTTTTGGCTTTCTGGTCACAATCAGAGGGTAATTTGTGTTGGTCTATCTATCAGATATAGATCCTCTCAATTGCATTGAACCCTGCAGTTGTGACGAGGTAATATCTGAAAAATTCAAGGTGTGTAAATACCCTTGCAAGGTGCTGTATTTCAATTAGGGAATTCGTGCAAGTACTATTTTGATTTATGACGAAGACTCTTTATCAGGCCCGGCCTACCTGTGATTTATGGAGCTTCACAGCTTCTTCTTCCCTTAGCTCAAGGGATGGACTCGCTGCTTAGAAATAACACAGATGCAAATGACCTGGAACTCTCCGTCGGTCTCCCTGCAGAATACACACACTCCACAGCCGCCGCTGCCAGGCTTCATTTACATTTTCTCCCTCAGGAGGAAGCCCCTGTGACTTGTCTGTCCCAGAACCGCTACATGTATCTATGAGTAGAACAAACGTAACGCCATATAATTGGTGAGACTAGGGTTGAAAAGAAATATTTAACTCTAACAATTGTTCACAAAGTAAATATTTGCTTCCAGTGTAGCTACCTGAGACGGATAAATGGGTCTTCTATGGAGCATTTGTTTTTCACAAAGCGACCTTTTGACGTTTCGTTTTGCTTATGTTTAGATATATTGAAAGGTTGACCTGTATTGAAAGCCTTTTTTGTCACTATGACATATTTCTATTCTTAGAAAAAAATTTTTTAAAGCATTGTGGTAAATTCAACCCAATCTAACCCCTAATTCAAGTTGCTGTTTGTAAAACAAACGAGTAAATAATGTTTTAATTATTTTTCTTAACGAACGCAACATACAATATAACAAAATAAAAATTTACATGTAAGGACCTGCCAGAGCATTTATGCTCAATGTAAAATGTATATTTTGGGTCATATTAATGAGATGTTTATCTCTACTTGAACCTTTTTTCACATTTTTCTTTTTTTGTAGCGTTAGTGTTCTCCCACACGCAGAGCTTTTTGCATGTCAGCCAAAACCTCAGTTCTGGTTAAAAACCATATATGATTTTCCCTCTGAGAATTAAACATGTTAAACTATAACATAAAACCAAAAAGGAATCCATTTAATTTTGTGGTTCTATTTGTAATGACATGTGAAAAATGTATTCATGGGCTGGTAAATCTCTTTGCGCTGCATTGTCATTTATTTATTTGAAGACCTCCATGAAATAACTTTGTATTTATAACTTTGTATTTTATGACATTCCTGCCACATGTAGGGAAGCCCAACGGCTACTCTGTTCTACATAAAGTCGCTATAAATTGAAACTGAAGTTAACTAAACATGATCTATGAACAGTCATTCTAATCATATGAACCCAAAGCAAACAAAAAAAAATCCCTCCTTCATGTTTCTGAATCAATCCCAAAGACATTTTCTTCTTTCCTCCCGTAAGAAGCATTAAAGCCTTGGAACTTATATCAAAATGAAGGAGAGGCTTTTCCAAACTCTCCTAGGTTTTACATCTGATCTGCTCTATGTGGGATAATAGATCAAAACCGTCACAGCCTGTGTTGAGGAGAGTCAAAGAAAGCTGAAATAAACTGATTCAGTTGCAAAAAAGGAAATAAATTCATTGTAGTGTTCTGTTGGTTTTCTTGGAATTTTTGCTACATTGCCCACCAATTTCCAGCCTTGAGTTTGTAACCTCCGAATGGAAAGAAGATCACAAACAAGTGCCAAGTGTAATTTAAGCATAATGTATGTACTCATACATAAAGCCTTTACTACTGCTTCCACTTTAGCATGCAAGAAATCCCTTTACCACATTTCTGTTGAACTATATAAAAGAGAAATATCTTACCTAATAGTTAGGGTCTCTTTAGAGCTTTCAATCATACCTCTCTAATGTTAATCTGGTTTCTACAGATCTTGGGGGCAGAAATGCTGTGATTCACCATGTTTTTTTTTTTTGTTTTGTTTTATTTTTTTTTTCTTAAAGATTTAACACTGAGTCATTTTAAACTTTGTAGGTCTGTACCATTTATATATATATAAAAAAAGCCTTAACCTTTATATCAAACATATTTCTTTAAATACAAAACAAATAAAATTGGGCAAAAGTGCAAAAACATATAAAATGCCTGTGTTTTTATGTCTGTACATATTTTAATAATCTTTTTTTTATTGCTATGCTTGTCAGATAGCAAGTATACCTCTATGATATTTGCAAAGCGACAGCTTGTCAAGGTGATATTAAGCATTACTGTCAGATGTTTTACTCATGAGAAGTTGAGTAGATCATGCAGCAGCGTCTATGTTTTATCCTCTGCGAAGAAGGTTGAACGGTAGCTTTTCCAGATGTATTACATGGTAGACAAGGTGACTGTGGTGCTTGTCAAAAGCAAAATAAATAAATAAAAATGCAGCCTTGATTTATTTACAGATGTACATGCTGCATACCTGCTGGTTGTAAATAATCCAGGGGATGAAAATACACAGGAAAAAGGCAGGAGTTGTTTGATAAAATCCTTCATACAGTGGCAGATTTACTCCAGTTGTCCAGAACAGACATGTCCAGCTCACCACCTGGCCAGCCGCCACGATGCATGTTTTTCATCCTCAACTCTTCAAACCCCAATAAGACTTCATATCGTTATTATTTTTAAACTCATTGTCGTTATTGGGAGAACCACATCAACACTTATCATCCTTAACATATGATCATCAGCAATCTACAAACTTTGTTTTGTTTTGTGCTACAGAGTAAAGTGATGTGTTTGTAAAGTAAGCCATTTTGGATTCTTCCTAATACACAGCAGGAACCAATTGTGTAAATGTATTTGAAAAAAAATAAAATAAATAAATAAATAAATATTTCTGTAGGGTCTAAATATCAGTATCACAGAATTAATCTAAGAAAGGCAAAAACAAGAACTTTTTAGTTAGAGCATGCGAAAGTTAGCTACGTATGTTAGGTAAAACTAATCATTGCTTTATCATTTTATTTGAGTGTTTTATCTAAATGTGTTCAGTTACCTAACTGGCTCTGACCAGTTATTCTTTAAGGTTCTTTCTCTATCTATAACGTAATTTCCTACTCAAGGGGTCCATCTGTTTCGTTATCTCAGCATTGTCCTCCTGAAGAAGGTCATCATAATAAAAGCCAATTCCAAGCAGAG